GGGGGGGGGGGTTGGAGGGCGCACAGCAAAGTGCCTGACTCATCCCCTGCCTCCTCCCTCCCTCAGGTCCCTGCGGTGTCCCCAACACACCGATGAGCAGCGCAGATCGGTCCGGGTTTATCTCCTGGGTCCCTCCGCGTAAGTGAGCGAACACACGGGGTCCCAGATGTCCCGGGGCCACTCTGGTGTGGGGACAGGGACAAGGCTCTGCTGCCCAGTGCAGACAGAGACTGGGGAGGGGGGGAAAAAACCTGCCTGGGGTCCCCGAACGAGGGTGGGGACGGGGACACCTCCAGGGGGGCTTGGAGGGTTGGGATGGAGATGTGCAACCCAGCTGCGTCCCAGGGAGCTGGGTCAAGCCTCCAGTGTCCCCGTCACATTGAGGGGGTGCAGCACTGTGGGTCCTGTCCCCCCCCCAAGTCCCCAACCCCATCCTGGGGGCTGGGGACCCCCTTAACTGGGGTTCTAATTGACAAACGGCTGAATATGAGCCGGCCTGTGCCCAGGGGGGCAAGAAAGCCAATGGCATTCTGGCTTGTATCAAAAATAGTGTGACCAGCAGAAGTAGGGAGGTGATTATGCCCCTGTACTCAGCACTGGGGAGGCCACACCTTGAGTATTGTGTCCAGTTTTGGGCACCTCAATCCAAGAGAGATCTCGAGGTGCTGGAGCGAGTGCAGAGGAGGGCAACGAAGCTGGTGAGGGGGCTGGAAAACAAATCGTATGAGGAGCCACTGAGGGAGTTGGGACTGTTTAGTATGAGGAAGAGGAGGCTGAGGGGAGACCTCATCACCCTCTACAACTACTTGAAAGGACACTGTAGAGAGATTGGTGCTGGTCTCTTCTCACAGGTAAATAACAATAGAACGAGAGGGAACGGCTTCAAGCTCCAACAGGGGAGGTTTAGATTGAACATTAGGAAGGAATTTTTCACCGAAAGAGTGGTCGGGCATTGGAACAGGCTGCCCAGGGAGGGGGTGGAGTCCCCATCCCTGGCTGTGTTTAAGGGCCGTTTAGATGCAGTGCTGAGGGACATGGTGTAGGGGAGGACTTTGTAGAGTAGGGGAGATGGTTGGACTCGATGATCCCAAGGGTCTCTTCCAACCTAGACCATTCTATGATTAATGCCTGTGCCCAGGTCCCTGCCCGAGGCGGAGGGCAGCGTGGAGAACGACAGCTTTGAGGTGGCGGAGAGCCAGGCCATCATGAGCCGCCTGCAGTGGGACGGCTCCTCCGACATCTCGCCCTCCGACTCGGCCTCCTCGAAAGCCAGTGAGTATTCCGGAGTGGGGGGGACAGATCCTGGACACAGAGCACTCCTGGGGGGGCCAAACTGGGTGTTCCTGATGTCTCCCCAGCACAGGAGGGGATGGACAGACAGACAGACAGACTGTGGCTACCCAAAGCCACCTCCAAGAGTCCCTAGAGTATCCGGAACATCTTGTCACCCCCCTTCCTGGGGTGGGGTGGGGAATGTTTTGGGTATATTTTCCTGGGTATGGATGGGTGATGGGGGGGGGATCCCCTCTGCTTTGGGGGGATCCTCTCTGCTTTGGGGGGGGCTTCCACTGGTGAGGCCTCACCTTGAGTACTGTTTCCAGTTTTGGGCCCCCTACCATAAAAAAGACATTGAGGTGCTGGAGCGGGTCCAGAGAAGGGCGACAAAGATGGTGAGGGGTCTGGAG